ACATTCTTGCCACCACACTTTGAGACACCCCAAGGTCTGCTGCAAGCTGACGTTGAAACATGCTAGCTTGCAGCACTCCGATGCCCCTATTCATTTCACCGCCATTTAACTTGTCTGGTTCGTATTTGTGTCATATTAAAACAAAAACAGTCAAAGAATAGCTAGGCAAGGCTAAGAAAGGCGTTGTTCAAATTGATAAGGAAATCAATTTGAACAACGCCTTTCTTAGCCTTGCCTAGCTTTTGAAAGGGATGTACACATGGAAAAGCGATGCAATTTTAAACTGCATTATAGGTATTAGTATTCTTGTTTTATTATCTCCCCTAGCAACAACAGATAAAGTTGAATCCCACTCCCCCAAAAATATTGTCACTTGTGTATAATGTTTAATTCAAGTGGGGAAAAGGCTTGCACTGTCTTCCCCAACCCATTGATCCATTTATTTGGATAATTGGTCCATGTTTGTGATAGGGAAGATGTTCAGGGGAAACAAATAATTTTCTGTTGATCAGCCGTCTGTGTCGGGCCATTGTTTATTTTTGCAGAGCCTAGGTAGTGCTACTGCGGAGAGTCAAGATGTCGGAAGACAAGCGAAGAGGGGAAGAAGTAGAAGATGGCGGGCCTGGTCTTGTCTACATGCCATTTGTCGTCATGGAAGAATTCCTAGACAAACTCAGATTACTGAATTATGAGAAGGAGTTTTCCCGTGTACTTAATATGAAACCAATATCAAGGTACAACATGATGAATTAACAGTGTGCTCTATCACTTTGGGTCATTGTCAATTTTCTACATATTTATTAGAATATATGGCTATGCCAAAATTGGTTTATTCTCGCCTAGCATACATGTCTATTTTCACACCTAATAACAATTTGGTCTGTTTCAAAATGATGCAGGAGGTTATAATACATATTATTATTAAGAAACTATGTCTACCTTAATCAATAAATATTCCATAATCTTCGTAAAAAACTATAGTGACATGTGGTAGAAGATGGTATTTGTATATTAAAAAAGAAAAAAGGATACATTTATTTTAATTTTGTATCGGATGTCAAAATAGTTACATTTTTATAATTCTGAGTTATTATAACATCACAATTGATCATAAGTGAAGCCTCATTAACTTACGTCCTTAAATGACTGTTAAACAAAATCAAACCAAACCAAACCAAACCTCATTAAGTAACTTTAATATCAATGATTATTTAAACATTCTGTAATGGATTGTCTATAATTTCAACTGATACAATCACAGTTGACTTGAATTTGTTTTATTTTGATGGTTACATGTGCCTGCAGAATAAATGTGTTTATCTCCAAAATATTTATCATAGAGCACCTCTTCGGGCGAAGGGAACTTAATTTTATGATAAAAGTTTAAATCATCAAGGGAATGGGATGGTGACAGGATGACATTTCAAATTAAAAGTGCTCACTTATTTTCTTCTGAAATGTGCTCATTGATCAATGCATTATATTATAGATATACACTGATTTACTGTACAATAATTTCAGACATTACTTCGCCATACCAACAAACCCAGGGGAACAGTTCTTCATGTTTACCTCACTGTCGGCTTGGCTGCTGAGGAAGGCTGGCAAGAGTTTTGAACAACCACAGGAAGTATGTACAGACTGATAGTAGATTAATGAAATGCCCCACTACCATTTCCATCAGCATTTAGACTTATATTTTTATCAGTTTGATAAAAGAATTCATTTAAAAGAATGAATAATTGAAATAATATCATTGGCTTAGCCTTTTTCTTACAACTTTATCTAATTTTAAGCAGCAACTCTTTAATCTCAATCACTGCAACAATATACAAATTTGATTAAAATGAAATATTTTGTGATCAGAGCTTTCTAAATGAGGTTAATTTAAGAAATTTTAATTTTGTATTGCTTGTAGCCCTTGTTGATGTTTTATATGTTTAAAAGCTTTAGTGAAGTTGTGTGATTTACTGTAGATTTCAAAAACAATTCATACATTTATTTTACATATAGTTCATGCACACTTAATTCCATAACTTCACAATTCTGCTTATTTCACTAGGACATAAATTCATGCATATATTGCAAATTATGTACAGAACAAAAATTGTTCTTGTTATACAAATGTATTGTAATGAAATGTAAGTATTTACAGTACAACATATGTGTAAGATGTAAAAAGAGTTGTATACAAATGGCAGATGAAACATTTATTGGTTATTTAATACAAGATTTAACCTACATTAATTCTTCAATTTCTAAAATGTATCTGCATTTTTCATAACAGTTCCAGATTAAGTGAGATCAATATTCGTAAGCTCCTGATTTTTGTGTTGCCTGCAA